CCAACCCCTTTATTTTCCCCCCTCCCCCGGCCGGGGCCTTTAAGCCGCGCCAAGGGCGCAGGCGGGCTTCGGGAATTAAAACGTCCCCTCCCTTGACGTTTAACGTCCGATTGGCCCTGCGGGGGAGTGACGGCCAATCCGTCCAAAGGGAGTCCGTCCACCTGTGAGAGGCTCGGGGGCCAGGCTGCGTACTTAGCGTAACCCGGAGAAAGGCGGGCCCGACAGCCTCAGAAGGGGATGCTGGGAGTTGAAGTTCGCAAAGGGAGGGGGAAAGGTGGCTTCTCTCGCTAGGCCAATGGGAGGAGCGAAATGCTGTACTATAGAAATCCGCCTTGTTCATCAAAGCCGTTTTTTAAAATGCATAATTTTCTAGAAAAAAAATCAAAGAAGATGGCTTGGAACCGTCTTGAGGCCCTTTAAAGGCTGACTGATTTATAAAGGCATAAAAACTTTCATGGGCTACCTCCCTCTTTGTCACTTGCTCCCAAGACACCTCTGACTCATGAATGAATGACCTCCCAAATGTCCTGACCTCAGTTGCCCTGCTCAGCTCTTGCAAACTCAAGGTTCTGCGTTCTTTAGGGAGTCAATCGATCTCACATTTGGTCTTCCTCTTGTCCTGCTGCCTTCAACTTCTCCCATTATTGTCTGTTTAGTGTGAGTCTTGCCCTGTCTTCTCCAAAGCGCAACAGTCTTAATCTGTCAAGTAGAAGGGACAGAAAGATGATGACTAGCCTCAGGGCATGAATCGGCTCTAGTGGCTGGCCGGGTAGCGGGACTGACTCTTAAGTCTATCCAGTCCTCTAGGGATTTGGCCCAACGCTGCCTTCAACTTCTCCCATTATTGTCTGTTTAGTGTGAGTCTTGCCCTGTCTTCTCCAAAGCGCAACAGTCTTAATCTGTCAAGTAGAAGGGACAGAAAGATGATGACTAGCCTCAGGGCATGAATCGGCTCTAGTGGCTGGCCGGGTAGCGGGACTGACTCTTAAGTCTATCCAGTCCTCTAGGGATTTGGCCCAACACCTTGGGCCTCCAGATGTTCTTGGACTTCAACCCCCAGAAGTCCTGGCCAGCAGAGGTGGTATATGGAGGATAGGCTGTTACCCAAGCAGCAGATCCCCCCTCTCCACATTGCTGAAATGGTCCAATGGAAAGGCAAGAGCCAATACAACTGGTTCCAGCAATGTCGCAGGAGTTGGCAGAACGACACAAACTGCCTTCGGGACTCCAGCTCCGGATTTTGCTTGTAGGTTAATTCCTGAAGCCTTTGCTACGAGTGGATATAGCCACAAGGCAGTGGAGGTTTGAAACTGGAGTTTTCCTTCTCTTAGATGGGTTGCGTTCCATGGCTGACGAGCCCCACCTACCTGGCCTGCTCTTTAATAATTTTAAGGGTACATGTGACTATAAAGAAGCTAGGAGGTGGAGGTTACATACAGGAACTTTATGTCAAAATATTCATATAGATCAGGTCACTGAGAAATACAGTATTGCAAAACATCTGGAGAGCACCCTGTTTGGAGAATGTTGCCCAACAGTGCATAATCCAGCTGTTTTTATGACGTGTATGTTTTTTTAATTAATTAATTTTATTTCTAAAGAATGAAAAGACAGTCGACCATATTACAAATAGTAAATACAAAGCTATTCCCCACAATTCTCCAAATCACATATATACAATTCCCCGTCACCTTTTAAAGAAATATCAACCAACAAGCTAAATTTCTTTTCAAACCACATGTCTCAAAGTCTATTTTGTCGGCATATTTTAATAATGGCTTCCAATTTTCAGTGAATATATTGTGGCTTATTTCTCCTGTATGTAATCTAACTTTATTAGTCATTTTTTTTCCATCAGCAATGTATGCCATATTTTACTTGTGAATGCTTGCAATGAGAGATCTTGGACTTTTTTACAATTTTTAGCGATTTCAGATCTTGCGGTGCCTATAAGATTTGCAACTAATTCTTTATATTCTAGTTTCTCCCTGTGAATAATGAAAATAACAATAATGTTTCATTAATATCTATTTTTTTATGATGTGTATGTAGATCTGAAAGCTGGCATTAGTGGCCGGCAATGTTATGCAGCTCTTAAGTGTCTGGGAACTCAGAAGAGTCCATATTCCTCATGGGGAAGAAGAGAAGCTTTCTTGCTGATGTGGATGGTCAAGCTTTCAGCAGGAGGTGCTAGTCCATGGTGGCTGCCTACCATTTTAAACTATCCAGAATGCAGTGTTTGAATAAACATCTCTACCAGGTGAAGCTTTGTGTTTTGGGTAGTCCAACAGGAGGGACAGCTGCCATGAGTTCCACCAAATCCTTATTGGGCTCACATTCAGCTGTAAACCAGGAAAATCGATTTAGTTGGCTGAATCCTAGAGTGAAGCCTTTGTCTTGATGAGTGACCAGTGACAGGTATATGGTGCTGTGAGAGACATGCGCGGCAGCAGGAAATGGGAAGCACAGTCATTGGGAGTGGCACTCTCCTGGAGATCCCACTATCTTCGGTTGTGTGTGCGTATGGGGATTAGGATTACCATGCTCAACACGTATAAAGTCTGTTGGAAGTCCTGGTGAATCTGTTCTGAATGATTTTTGTTTTCAAATGATTGTTTTAGACAACTTGAACATTTTGTGCTTTCTTGCTATTCGAATCCCATTGTTTTCATGATTTTTAAATTTCATTTATTGCTTGATAAGCCATTTCCCTCATTTTGTTAGTGACCTACTTTGAGAGCTCTTGTTTTCAAGCTAAAATTTTGTTTACTTTAAATAAATAAAATTACAGGTGTGTATATCTCAGCATGAAATCAGTGGTTTATTTATTTATTTATTTATTTATTTATTTATTTATTGGACTTATATACCGCCCCATAGCGCTACAAGCACTCTCCGGGCGGTTTACAATTTTAATTATATCTTTATTTCCAAGCTCTAACACAGAATATTTAGGATTTGCCTCTATCTCTAGCCAAAAAGCTAGATAGGCAAATAAAAAAGGTTAAGATATTTACTTTAAACCTTAGAATTGCAAGCCGCTCCTGCCCTTTGAACTCTTGTTACTTTATATTGTTACTGCAAAGAACTGGCAGCTGTAATCATGCTCACAGTCATGTTGTTTAAACCCTGTGGACTTCAATAAGGGTTTAACAGCTTCATGGTGTATAGGACTGCCACAATCCAAATGACTCATGTCCGAAATGAAACTATTTTTTGCAGCAATAGGAGGACTAACACATATATTATTGCATAAGGTTTTGTGGACCTCAGGCTATTTCATCAGATGCACACGATGGTGGATTCAAGGTGTACAAATTTGCATGCCTGCCTTCCCAAATCTGTTGCTCTCTAGATGCGTTTGACAACAAGTCCCATCATCCTTCAATTGTAATGGCATTTATAGTCCAACAGATCTGAGAAGTGCAAGGGGAACACGTTTTCCAGACAAAACAAAGCTTACCTTGCAATAAAACCGGAAGTAAAACAAACGAGATGCAAAACAAACCTCAAGAAAAATACCTATCACATCTGCAGAAAGTAACTATGTGTATCCCCAAAGCATTTTTAGAAAGCTACACATTCACTGGTGGCTAACACTTTGCTTTCCTTTGCTGTGTGCTGGTTGGCTTTGGGAGCACGAGGCTATCCAAGGATGCGCATGTCCACCAGACCACTTTGTGGACTTCATGGTTAGTTTTCAGAGGTGCCACAAAATTCATGTTATTTTTGCTGACTAAAATCTGTGTTTAATTATAGACAGCACTTTTTGATTTTTTTTCCATTCTGCATTTAATTTTTTTTCTCCAAGTGATAGTCCCCTACTGACCAGGCTTTAAAACTCATTTCCTTAGAAGCCTAGAAAATGTATTTGTGTGCAGGTGGCTTTAAATATGTGCAGACTGATATTTAAAATGCCTCTGCTCTCTGTGAGACAAGTTCTTTGAAAGTGTGAATAGGATTACAACAAATTTGACGTCCTTGGTGAAAAGACCATGTTTTCATATAACTTTGTTGTTTATGGGATGGCCTTCTGTCCTACTCACCAGAGGAAAGTCTTCTCTCTTTTTAAGGAATATTCTATATCAGTGGTTCCCAACCTTGGTTAATTCAAGTGATCTTGGATTGCAATTCCAGAAGCCTTCACCACTGACCTATGCTGCCCGAGCTTTCTGGGAATCGCTGTCCAAGGACACCTCGGTTACTGAAGGTTGGGAATCACTGCATTATACGAAGGTCTGCCCATTCCAAGTTCATTTTAAAGACACAAACTCCTAGGAGAGCAAACTTCTGAGGTTCACATCTGGACAGTAGATAAAGAGGCAGGTATACACTTCACTTGAAGACAAGTCTGGACAGTAGATAAAGAGGCAGGTATACAGTTCACTTGAAGACAAGTCATCCAGTACAGCGGCGGAAGCATTTCTATTAAAATTATAGGCATTGTCTCTACCTGTCTTAACCCTCTTAACATATGAACAATATGTGCATTTTGTACAAATGAATGCTTCCTATTGTCTTACCTCTTTTTAAAAAACATGTCTCTTTTCCCAGAAATCACCTTAGAGCAACCAACATGAAATTGACAGAACTCCGGGAGGCAGTGGAAGATAGGAGGGCCGGGCGTGCTCTGGTCCATGGGGTCACAAAGAGTCGGACACGACTAAACGACTAAACAACAACAACAACAACAACAGCGGCGGAAGCATTTCTATTAAAATTATAGGCATTGTCTCTACCTGTCTTCACCCTCTTAACATATGAACAATATGTGCATTTTGTACAAATGAATGCTTCCTATTGTCTTACCTCTTTTTTAAAAACGTGTCTCTTTTCCCAGAAATCAAATTGATCACAGTTTTGAACAAGTCTGTTTCTATTCCAGAGGGTGGCAGTATGTGCAAAAGGCTCTTTCACACCCTCCAGATTCCGATC